CTATCTATCTATCTATCTATCTATCTATCTATCTATCTATCTATCTAAACTACATCTATCTATGTATCTATCCATTCACTCACCTTTCATCTTTCTCTATCCTCTGATTATCTTCATCTGTCTTCTGTCTATTATATATATCTGTCATTTATTTGTCATCTATCTGAGTTCTCTGAGTTCCTTGGTTCTTGTTTGGCAGACCTTTCATGACCCAAACTAGGTAACATCATCAGTGATAGAAGGCAGTTGGGGTTGTGGAGAGGAAGAGTAGGGAGAGGACTGTGGGGTCCTTGGTCCTCTTTGAACTCTGTTGTTTTTGAGGGCCAAATGTGTTAAGTGAGACATTTGTTTTGCCCCATTTTATTACCTTTCTCACCACAGTTGTTAAGTAAATCACTGCAGTAGTTCAGTTAGCAACATGGTTGTTAAGTGAATCTGGCTTCCCCATTGATTGCTTGTCAGAAGGTCGCAAAAGGAGACCATGTGACCCCAGGGCACTGCGACCGTCATAAAAGCAAATCAGTTGTCAAGCATCCAAATGTAAATCACGTGACCATGGGGAGGTTTAACGGTCATAACCCTGAAAAACGGTCAAAAGTCATCTTTTTCCAATGTCATTGTAACTTTGAACAGTCACTAAACAAATTGTTGTAAGTCGAGGACCTGTCTGTCTGTCTGTCTGTCTGTCTGTCTGTCTGTCTATGTATCTATTCCAAAACAATGTACAACAATCCTTCCGTGTAGTTTTTTTTCTCAGTTCCCCTCTGTTCATTTTCTTTCTGTTTGGTTTTGCCTAGGGGTCATGGAACTTACCTTGGGGATGAGAAGTTGATCGCTTCGGTAGCTGGAGTTGTCGAGAGAGTGAACAAACTGGTGTGTGTCAAAGCATTAAAAACCAGGTGAGAAAAAGAATTTGTGCTCACAATATATGATCCTGTGATGACCCAGGGTGGGATACAAAATAAACACAGTCACAAAAAACAGGTGAAGCCCCTTTTATTCCTTCACTTTGCTTCCAAGCTCCAAATATCCTTGACGGAGGACAAAAAACTCCCACACAAACAGTTACAAGAAGAAGGAAAAAAGGAACACAAACCAGGCAAGATAAGGGCTGGAGGATGTCCACAGATAACACACGCTAGGAAGGATGCCAAACTCAGAGAGGAACCATAAACTAGAGATATTTCCACGCTTTGTTTCCAGCACTTGCCCATACGCATGTCCGTCCTCTTATCCAGTTGTCACAGCTGCAGCCCATGAAGAAGATCAAGGCCCTCTCCTCCCCAGTAGACCACGTCTCTCCCTTATCCTCTCCTCCCTGCATGCCCTAGGATGGAGAAGGGATGGGCCTGGGTCCTCCTCTGACTGCCCAGCTGGCCTCTGCCCTTCCCCAGCCTCCTCCACAACCTCCGGAGCCACACTTCCACTCCCTGTCGGCTGTTCCTCCTCTCCCTCAGAGTCAGTCTCCACCAGGAGCATGACAGATCCTGGGAATCGTAAGCAAGATTAAACTTCAACTCCCAGAATTCCCCAGCCAGCATGATGATAGATGATATATTGATAGCATGGCTGGCTGGGGGAATTCCAGGAGTGGAAATTCAGGCATCTTAAAAGTTACTAAATTGAGAAATACCGAGCTAAGCTTGTAAATTAAATTCATAATTCTCAATAGAGGGCTTTGAAGTGTCTGCTTGGTTATTGTAGCTCTGAGCTTTTCTTTCTGTTCTAGTTTTGACCTCTGATTTAATGCTGAAAAGTAACCCATAATCTCAAGGGGTTTTTAAAGATTAGCACATTTATTATGGCATAAGGTTACACGTTTCTCCCTTTAGCTGGGGAATTATTGAATAATGTTTCCTTTTGATTTTCTTGGCAGGTACAATGGTGAAGTTGGAGACATTGTGGTTGGGCGAATTACAGAGGTAATATTTTCATTTAAACATCCCTCCCTCCCTTCCATCTTCCTCCCTCCCTCCCTCCCTCCCTCCCTCCCTCCCTTCCTTCCTTCCTTCCTTCCTTCCTTCCTTCCTTCCTTGAAATATGCAGAACTGAAAGAATTCTGTAATTATTTCCAGTGGAAGTTCTGAACTTTTTTTTTTAAGCACCATGTTTCTACTGCTTTTCTGTCCTGTTGATTTGTCCACTGCATGGAACAATTTGTTAGGAATGTAAAATATAGGATAATAACTTCAAAAATAATGTCTGCCGAGGAATTGGTGTGGTTTAAGACAACCCATTGTAAGTCCAGCGCCTGCCAAATATTTCCTCTTTCAGCTCTTTGGATGGACAGCATTTTGAAGAAGTTTGGATTTAATTTTATATATATATATATATTTTAGGTTCAACAGAAACGATGGAAGGTAGAGACCAACTCTAGACTAGAATCCGTGCTGTTGCTCTCATCCATGAATCTTCCCGGCGGAGAGTTGGTGAGTGTATCCTCAGATGGTTGGAAATGCTGTTTTCATTGAGAAATGGATGGGATTTATATGGAGGGTTGTTTTGATTTTTTTAAAATTATGTGAGTTTTTTTTTTAAAATTCTGTGTCGACTCATAAAACATTTTGTGTACACGTTTTATAGTTGCCAACAGAAAGAAGGCAGGGGGGAGGGGAGTTTGAAAGAGCAGGCGGTAGTGTGGAATCGAAAGTACACTCCATTCATATTTTCTTCAAAGACTGATTAGATGACTGAAGCTTCTGCCGAGCAAAAATCTAATTGGAGAGCATGATTGATGACTCTTGGCTATGGATGTGTTTTGTTGGATGATACAACCAGAGGGGTGGGGGGGAAAGTAGGATCAAGGGTGACAGTGAATTACGTATCTCAGAGTTGGCTACACCCAGTTTAGTGCCGGACGTAGAATGTTAACTTCAAATAAATCCTGTTTAGTTTTGGGAATGTGGCTCGAGGCTCATGATTTAATTGGAGTAACTGCCGGAATCCTGACATTCTGATTTCAGATAGTTCTTGACTTATGACCACAATTGAGCCCAACATTTCTGTTGTTAAGTGAAACATTTGTTTAAGTAAGTTTTGCCCCATTGTATGACCTTTCTTGCCTCCGTTGTTAAGTGAATCACTGCAGTTGCTAACTTAGTAACTGCACCGGAGGCAAAATTCCTTGCGTGTCTAAATTGGGTCTCCAACCTTGGCAACTTTAAGCCTGACGGACTTTGCTGGCTGGGGAATTCTGGGAGTTGAAGTCCGCCAGGCTTAAAGTTGCCACAGGTGGAGACCCCTGGTCTACATCACACTTGGCCAAATAAAGTATTCAATTCAATTTGTTTTTATTCCCCAGAGACGTCGATCTGCAGAAGATGAGTTGGCCATGAGAGATTTCCTTCAAGAAGGAGACCTTGTCAGCGTATCCTTTCTTCAGAGCATTAGTATTTCCTTTGTTATTATTATTAACACGCTCTGATGCTAAGGAGTTCTACTCCCCCTCCCCACCTGAAAAGAAATCTGTTCCAAATGCAAAACACAAGCAGAGGAGAGGAGTTTCAGTTTCAGTTTCACAGCATCAACCAGCTTTAGTACAGAACAGTTGAGCTAAGCCCAGGCTCCTTGCTCACACAGCAAATACCGTTTCAGTTTCCAAACAGCCCTCAACTCTCTCACACCCTGACAGGACGCTAGCCAGATGAATACCGATTAAGCCTAACTCTAACCCGATGGCTGCTGGTAGGCAGAGGCAGAATTTTCCACCCCTTATTTTCCTCCCCAAAAACTAAGCCTGACCACATAGTTTCATAGTGAAGCGCGAGTATCAAGCTAGTACCAAACTAATCAAGTTTGGTCAATGATTCTCAGCCTCGGCCCCTCAGATAGCCTACATTTCCCAATCGCTTTAGCTCTCCCACCTGGCTAAGATGCTGGGAAGACCAACGCCGTCACTCTGGAAGGAGAAGTTTGAATAAGTTCAGCTCTTTGTCTTCATATTTATCGGGGGGTAGAAATGCCGGGGAAATCCAGGTGCGGTTTTATTTCCTTAAATGCTCCCGGCAGGCTGAAGTCCAAGCGGTGTTTTCCGACGGGGCGGTGTCGCTGCACACTCGAAGCCTCAAATACGGAAAGGTGAGCTTAAAGTTTTCTTAATGCGTTGAGAGAGGTCTTCGTAACGGGGAGCAGGAATGACTTTCGGGAACAGGAGGCAGAGCTGCAATCAAGACCACCCAAAAGGCAACAAATATTCTTCATATATCAAATATATAATATATATATTTTCCCCCCGGCCAGCTGACCCCCCCTCACCTTTTTACATTCCTCATGGCCTTCGTTTCTCTTTCCAGCTTGGCCAGGGGGTCCTAGTCCAGGTCTCTCCATCCCTGGTGAAACGGCAGAAAACTCACTTCCACGACTTACCGTGTGGGGCCTCCGTCATCCTTGGCAACAATGGCTTCATCTGGATTTATCCCACCCCTGAGCAGAAAGAGGACGAGGCTGGGGGCTTTGTGGCTAACCTGGAGGTGAGTTGAAGGCTCGGGGTTAGCGTGACCGAAGGGGTTTCTAAACTTTGAGGAGCTCGGGAGGAAAGACAACCCCTCCCCCAATCTCTTGGCCTTCTGGGTTAAAAGCTTCCTTGGAGCCCTTTTTGTTTTGTTTTGTTTTTTTAAAAAAATACCTTAAATTATTCTGTTTTTAAATGTGTCGTTTATATTGATTAAATGGTACTTTGCGCAGAGCCCTTCTCCAAGGGAGATGAGTGATTAATAAGTGTGCTGAAGGAAGGAAGGAAGGAAGGAAGGAAGGAAGGAAGGAAGGAAGGAAGGGAGGGAGGGTGTTGTGGTTAGCCGGCAGCAGGTGTGGACGGCTGAGGAGAGTGAGGACTCAGATGAGGGGCCAGGACCATTAGGGAGTGGACTGCTGCCTTCAGAGATTGTGGGGGCTGGCAGCAGCGATGAGGAGGTTCCCGAGGAGCCTGTGCCAAGTGTGCATGCGTGCAGGATTGCTCGTAGGAAAGAGCAGCTGCAACAGCACAGGCAACTAGGGAGTAAGGCTGCAAGGTCCCTTCTTCAAGAAGATAAAAGCCAGCCGTAAAACGAACGTTCTTTGCAGAAGGCAAAGACGTTTTGAAACTCCAACCTCGTGGACATTCCAGTATCCTGAGTTTGTATTTGAAGGTTCTTGCATTGCAAATTATTTCTTGTCTGTTATCTTTTGACAAGTCTCGCACAGCTTGGCAAGGCTTGTTGCTTATCACAGCTAATTATTTTGTAAAAGCATTAGAAGGTTTCTGTTCCCTTTGGATTGGGTTTGATTTGTTGGAAAAAGGTGTGGGTCACAACAGAGGGAGGGAGGGAGGGAGGGGAAGGAAGGTAGCATAGAAAAGGAAGAAAAGAAAGAAAAAAGAGTGAAGAAGGAAGAAAGGAAAGAAAGAAAGAAAGAAAGGAAGGAAGGAAGGAAGGAAGGAAGGAAGGAAGGAAGGAAGGAAGGAAGGAGAAAAGGAAAGAAAGAGCAAAGGGTGAACTTTTTCAACGCTGTCATAACTTTGGGGAAGGAAGGTAGCATGGAAAAGGAAGAAAAGAAAGAAAAAAGAGTGAAGAAGGAAGAAAGGAAAGAAAGAAAGAGAAAGGAAGGAAGGAAGGAAGGAAGGAGAAAAGGAAAGAAAGAGCAAAGGGTAGACTTTTTCAGCGCTGTCATAACTTTGAACCATTGCTGAATGAAGGTCGTAGGTGGAGGACTGTCTGAGTGCACCAAGCATGAAAGTGCTCAGGTTCTGTGTCCATATTTTCAGCCGGTGTCCCTGTCTGACCGCGAGGTCATCTCCCGCCTCCGAAACTGTATCGTGGCTCTGGTTTCCCAGAAGATGACTTTGTACGATACCAGCATCCTTTACTGTTACGAAGCATCTCTTCCTCACCAGGTAGAGCCTCTTGGGCACCAGGTCTCCGCCCTCAAGGTTACGGGGTTGGGTCGCATGCCCAAGTCCTTGGGGCAGCCTTCGGAAGCAGGGTTTTTTTTTCTCAACCTTGGCCAGGGGGAGACGGCTGGACTTCAACTCCCACAGGAGTCGCCCCGGCAGGAACGCCAGTTAGCAAGGGGGCTTGCAAGCCAGAGGTGGGGGAAGAGGGAAGCGTGACGTTTATCTGGATGTCCCCTCCTTTCCTTGCAGATCAAAGACCTTCTCAAACCAGAAGTGGTGGAGGAGATTGTGTTGGAGACACGCCAGAAACTCTTGGAACTGGAAGGATGATGGTAGCAAAGGAGGGGTGAGGAGCGGCAAGGATTCCTTCCTTCCTTCCTTCCTATCAATAACTCCTTCCTTCCACCCACCCATCTCATCCTTCTTCCCATCTTTCCTTCCCTCCCTTTCCTCCATCTTTTCTTCTTTCTTTTCTTATCCCATTCCATCCCACCCCTCTCTTCCACCCATCTCCTTCCCTCCTTCCTTCCTTTCCCAACCATCAATAACTCCTTCCTTCCTTCCACCCCCATCCATCCATCTCATCCTTCTTCCCACATTTCCTTCTTCCCCTCCTTTCCTCCTTTTCTTCCATCTTCTTTCCTTCCTTATCCCATTCCATCTCACCCCTCTCTTCCTTCTTCCATCCATCTCCCTTCCTTCCTTCCTTCCTTCCTTCCTTCCTTCCTTCCTTCCTTCCTCGTATGGCCTGGTTGGGGTCCCCCCATTGTAGACCAAAAGGAGCGGTAGTTTCTTTGGCTCTTTTCTTCTTCTTCTTCTTCTTCTTCTTCTTCTTCTTCTTCTTCTTCTTCTTCTTCTTCTTCTTCTTCTTCTTCTTCTTCTTCTTCTTCTTCTTCTTCTTCTTCTTCTTCTTCTTCTTCTTCTTCTTCTTCTTCTTCTTTC